GCTATCATCTGCCTCTCCTTCCTGTTTCCTGTTGTTGGGACAATCAGAAGAGGCGCAGCAAGGAAAAGTGCTTTGAAAGTGACACAGCTCCATGAAGTTGTGAAGTGGGACTGTTAAGATATTTGGGGCTGAAAAGATTTAACTTTCTTAGGTTTTGCCCCACTGTGTCCGTCTACTCCAGTTCAGTGTCAGTCTCTGACAAAATACATAGCCTCTTTGGCTTTCTTTCTCAGTGTTGACATTTCCTGATATCAGTAGCAAGTGATTACCCTAGATCACAAATCTACCCGACTCAGGTACTATTGGTTTTAATGGGTATCACTGGATTGTAGCTCAGTATTTGGCCAGAATCAGGAACAGTGGTGGCCATATGTGGAGAAGACATTATGTCTGGCCCTTTTGGTCATCCTGTGCTCTCAACACACCAAGTAGCATTTGCCTGTCTGGGGAAGTGTTTGAATGCACTGCTTTGCCTTGTTCCCTACTGTTGTCATTGCTTTTTTCTATACAAGGATTTTTTTCTACTAGACCTCTCTGGTGTTAGGGAGAAGGTATATATTTCAGGCCGAATGCGGTGGCTCAAGCCTGTAATCCTAGCACTTTGGGAGGCTGAGGGGAGAGGATTGCCTGAGCCCACGGGTTCTAGATCAGCCTGGGCAACATGGTGAGACCTCGTCTCTACAAGAAAAAATCAAAAAATTAGCCGGGCATGGTAGTGCACTCCTGTAGTTCCAGGTACTTGGAAGGCTGAGGCAGAGGGATTGCTGGAGCCCAGCAGGTTGACGCTGGGTGGCCGTGAGTGTGCCACTGCACTCCAGCCTGGGCAATGGAGTGAGACTCCAACTCAAAAAAAAAAAAAAAAAGAGAACTTGAGTTCTAATGCCAAACTGCCTCCTTTGACCTTGCCCCAGTCACTTAATGCCTCTGAACCTCAATCTTTTCATTTCTGTGAAATGCAGGAAAACAATTCTTAACTTCAGGGTTGTGAGATTTAAATTAGAGAATACAGGAAGGCAATTAGCAGGGTGCCTGGCTGCCAAATAAAAAGACAGTAGATAGATACTGGGGTTTGTAAAGCTTTGCTTGAACTTGAGTTTCTGACTTCACAGGCAGTGTTAGTTTAAGTCAAATCCATTAAGAGAGCCTTTAGGGTTTTCTATATAAGATTTTGTTGTCTGCAAACAGACAATTTAACTTCTTCCTTTCCAATTTGGGTGTCTTTTATTTCTTTTTCTTACCTACTGACTGCTCTAGCTAGGATTTCTGGTAACATGTTGAACAGGAGTGGTGAGAATAGGCATCCTTACCTTGTAATTGATATTACAGGAAAAACCTGCAGTGTTTTACTTACTGTTGAATATGATGTCAGGTGTGGGCTTTGCAATGTATGGTCTTTATTACGTTGAAGTACATTCCTTCTGCACCTATTTTGTTGAGAGTCTTTATCATAAAATGGTGTTGATATTGTCAAATGCTTTTCTGCATCTGAGATGATCATATGATTTTTTAGCCTTCAATTCTGTTAATATGGTGTATCACATTAATTGATTTGCATAAGTGGAAACATTCTTTCATCCAAATCCCAACTTGATCACAGTGGATGATCCTTTTAATGTACTGTTCAATTCAGTTTTCTAGTATTTTGTTGAGGATTTTTTATCTATGTTTATCAAGGTTATTGACTTACAGTTTTCTTTTTTCATTGTGTCCTTATCTGGTTTTGGTCTGAAGGTAATGTTGGCGTTGCAAAATGAGTTTGGAAGTGTTCCTTCCTCTTCAATTATTTGGAAGAGAAGGATGAGCATTAATTTTTCTTTAAATACTTAGTACTAATAAGTAGATTTAGTAAGCTGCAGGATACAAAGTCAACTTCCACAACCCGGTTTTGTTTCCATAAAAATGAACTATCCAAGGAAGAAACTAATAAAATAATCCTATTATAGTTGCATCGAAGATAATAAAATACTTAAGAATACAGCAAGTCCCTAGCATACAAACAAGTTTGGTTCCAAGAGCATATTCATAAGTCCATTTGTTTCAAGTCCAATGAAGTTAGCGTAGTTACCCAAGTAACACAATTGGCCAAATGGTATGTATTTAGCAGGCTCTACCGACACCTGGTGGAGAGAAAACATTAAAGTATGGGTGCATTGTTAAATTTTGTAGATTGAAGGTTTGTATGTAGAGGACTTAATGTAAATTGAACCAGGGAGATGAAAGATCTGTACCTGTACACTGAAAACTATAAGGCATCAATGAAAGAAATTGTGGAAGATACAAATAGATAAATATCCCATGTTTGTGGATTGGAATAATTAATATAGTTAAAATGTCTATATGCCCCAAAGCAATCTATAGATGCAATCCCTATCAAAATTCCAATGGCATTTTTCCACAAAAATAGAAAAGCAATCCTACAATTTGTATGGAATCACAAAAGACCTCACATAGCCAAAGCAATTTTGAGAACGAATAATAAGGCTGAGGTGTCACACCTCTTGATGCATATTATATTACAAAGCTATAGTAGATAACCCAGAAATAAACCCATGCATATATGATCAAGTAATCCTTGACAAGAGTGCCATGAAAGAACAATGGGGAAAGGATTGTCTCTTCAATAAATAGTGCTTGGAAAACTAGATACTCACATGCAAAATAATGAAATCAGATTGTGTTTCACATATACACAAATTAAATTGAAATGGATTAAGGATGTAAATATAAGACCTGAAACTAAAACTACTGGAAAATAACAGGGGGAAAGGTCCTTGACATTTTCTTAGCAATGATTTTTTTGGACATGACACCAAAAGCACAGGCAACAAAAGCAAAACTAAACAATCGGGACTACATCAAACTAAAAAATGTCCTCACAGCAAAAGAAACAACAAGATGAAAAGGCAACCTACACAATGTGAGAAAATATTTGCAAACCATATATCTGATAAGGATTTAACATAAAAAATATAAAAGGAATCCATAACACTCAATTGACAAAAAATTTTAAAAAATAGGAAGAGGACCCAAATAGATGTTTTTCCAAGGAAGACTACAAATTACCAACAGGTATATAAAAGTTGGTCAACATCATCATCCATCAGGGAAATGCAAACAAACCAAAGTGAGATAACACAAAAAAAGACAAAAAAATAACAAGTGTTGATTAGGGTGATAAAAAAAGGGAACCCCTGGTAAACTGTGGGAATGTAAATTAGTATAAACATAATGGAAAACAGTATGAAGGCTCAAAAAACTAAAAAATGGAACTACTGTACAGTCTCTCAGTTCCACTTATAGGTATACAGCCAAAGGACATGAAATCATGTCTCTAAAGTATCTGTGCTCCCATGTTCATTGCAGAGTTATTCATAATAGCCAAGATTTGAAAACAACCTACATGTTTACTGACAGATGAATGGATAAAGAAAATGTGGTGATATACTCACAATGGAATACAATTCAGTCTTTAAAAAGAAGGAATTCCTGCAATTGTGACAACCTGGATGAACCTGGAGAACATTATGCTAATAGGCCAGAGGCAGAAAGACAAACACTATATGATCTCACTTTCATGTATAATCTAGAAAAGTCAAGCTTATGGAATAAAAGTGGAATGGTGGTTATCAGGGGCTGAGGGAAAGGGGGGCAATGTTGGTCAAAGGATATAAATTTTCACTTATAAAGTGAACATGTTCTGAGGATCCAAGGTGCAGCATGAGTGGCAATGGATGTGTTTTGTTTTGTTTTGTTTTGTTTTCTGAGTCAGAGTCTCACTATCATTCAGGCTGGAGTGCAGTGGCATGCTCATAGACATTGCAGTCTCTATCTTCTGGGCTCAGGCAATCTTTCTGTCTCAGCCTTCCAAGTAGCTGGAACTACAGGTGCATGCCACCATGCCCAGATAATTTTTTTTTTAATTGTAGAGACAAGATCGCACCAAGTTGCCCAGGTGGGCTTCATGGATATGTTTATTAAATTAATTGTGATTATTATACAGTGTGTTCAAAAATCAGTTCACCATGTTGTATACCTTGGCTATATGCAATCTCCATTTGTCAATAAATATTTTAAAATAAAAAAAGAAAACTGTGTGCCATGCATCTTTCTCATTGAGAAATAATGGAATAAAATTCTTTGTTATCCAAAGGAAAAAACAAAACCTCCATTGGAGTATGTTTTCTGTGTAAGTATTGCTGTTTCAACAAGAAAAACAGGATTAATCCCTCTCCCCTCACCACCACCCCAGACCCAGAGCTCTTGTCTTGTACCACACTTGAATTCATCTTTCAAAATTAATCACCTTCTAAATCCATGGGAATAACAAGTCTGGATAATGGAGTTTCCTCCATTTTTGCTCTGTCCAAACCCAGAGAAGTAGAGTGCTGCTTTCTGTACCATGGACCTAAAACATAAATCATTTTATTGGCAGACTGCTGCAGGGCTTGTGAGGTAAAGAGAAGAATGAATTCACAGATGAGCTAACTAGTCTAGAATATTCCCATGGAGGAACTTGAGAGAATGCCAGGCCTTTCCACCTTCAGTTTGGCTTCTGATAATTGACTTGAAGTGGCTGTTCACCACTTACTGGAATGCCATGGAGGAATGAGCACCACATATGATAGAATTTTTTTTACTGTTCTTAAACTTTGCTGTTAACAAAGAGCATCCAACATGAGAACATGGTAATATCAACATCTACCATTGTAACTTGCAACCAAAGATAATGACTGTAATAATAGCTAACATTTTCTGAGAGTTTCATGACTGGCCTGAAGTCAGCAAAGACTTTTACACAGATTGATTTTATCTTCTTGGACAAATGAAATATTTCATTTTATAGAATGTATGACTGATTGGATTCCTTAAATTTACTTGTGAAGAAATAATTCTTAGTAGCAATCTTTGAAGTCAGTGTACTAATGTGTATTGAGCTTTATTTTGTCCATCTTTGGAGGAAGAAACAGAGTCACAAATATCATCTGGCCTTTGTTTTCCAGCTTCCATCGTGATTCAGAAATGGTGGTGTCACATGAATCCTTGTTTGGAAGGAGAGGACTGTAAAGTGCTGCCAGATTACTCAGGTTGGTCCTGTAGCAGTGGCAATAAAGTCAAAACCACAAAGGCAAGTATAGACAAAACACAAGTATAATTTACTACTTGTTTACTAGGTGGCATCCCCCATTGATTTTATCCTGCCATCAAGAAAACATTATGTTGATAAAACTGCTTATGTAGTGCCACCCTATGGCTTTGACCTTTTTGAAAAGGCCATTTCTCAGTATCATCATCCTTTGTGTCGTATTTTATAGAGCAGTGATTTGGTGGGTGAGCTAATTATTTGAGGTAAGGGTCACTAAATTCATTTCAGCTTCTTCATGAGCCCATTTTAAAGTAACAGTTTCTGAGTTGATGGGCCTGTGTATCAAAACAACATGGCAAGAATCCACCTATGGATTATTTGCTAAAGTAGAAATAATTACTGCCTTACAGGAGATTAATAATTGAAGACTTTTATTCAGGTCTTAGCAGTCAACAGTCTAGTTCTCCTTGTCTCTGAAGAGCACCCTTGTCTACCCATTCTTCAGCGCAAAATCTAATGTCTTATCTCTTCATATCTAGTTGATGGCTTTGTCCTTAGGAGTTCTACTCCCAAACCTTTCCATGACTCTGCATCACAAGACTTGCTCCTGTCCAAACTGCCATCTCTTCTAGAATACTTGGTTGCTTCCTTCTAGTTTGGACTCCATACGATGACTACAATAATTGTGTAAACTGTACATTTTCTGAGCTATCACCCCCAACATTTTCCAGTGGCATCCCCTGGATGATCCACTAGCTTCTGCTTGTCTGGTCCTTAATGGATAACCTGGCAAACCACCTCCCCTTCATTCTTGCTGCTCCAAACATCCTGGCCTTCTCTTAGTCCCTCTTCCTGGAATGTGTTTTCCTCCCTTCTTTTCTAGTTAATAGTTCTTTCTTCAGGGAATACTTCTTTGATTGAATTCATGCCCCCTGTATTTCTGAGCATTTACTATGATTACATTTCATACTAATTGCTGTACTCAATTGCTATACTTAGAGTTTTATGTCTAGTGAGGGCTATGAAGTCAGGCCACAGGTCTGTTTTTGCTTACCCTAGTAGTGTCAGAGCCAGCTGAATGCCTCAGTAACTATTTCTTGAATGAAAATTGATATGACTGGGGCCATCCTGAGATTATTAGAGTTGGACATACTGGAATGGAATGACTCTTTGGTTCTGGTTGCTATCAAGCTTTGACCTCTTAGGAAGCATAGAGAGAGAGAGTGAATGGCTTCTTGCTTTGTTTATGTTTTCTTCTTTATAATATTTTGAATAACTAAACATTTAGAGTTCTCATTCATTTTCAACCACTGAGGTCAAAAGCAGGCCAGTTCTCCTGCTAAGCATGAACATAGGATATTACAATAAACAAGATTTTACAAAATATATACATTATGTATAAATAATATATACATTACTTAATATATATTAAATTTAAAACAAGATTTTACAAAATGTCATTTTATAATAGCCTTTACATTAAATGAAAACTTGAGCTGATATTATCATACCCCAAATTATCAATAGAATAGTTGTTAGTTGTCTAGCTGAAATCATGTCAAAAATCAATACCATTTTCAACATTAATTGTAATTATCAACTAATTTTACTTTATTAGTGATATTAAGACTACTGGTAATGTGCTTTTATACCCTGGGCAGAAGAAGTTCATGGAGTCATTTGTAGGTTAAGCAAGGAGGTCAACACTCTCATAATTTCTATCAGCTCTCCTTCTAAGCCACTTTTAACCAGTGTAGACTCAGTGTGCTTGCTAAACAAACCCTGCCTTAAGATACTTCCAATATCCTTCCCTTGATCCCTTTCAATCATTTTTTTCCTAAGTATTTCCTAAATAAGAAGCTTGGAGTCACCCATGAGTCAGGTTCTTATATTTATCAAGTGAAAATTTTTTCTTTCATCGTATTTCTTGTAGACTAAGGAATAATGTTTTGGAAGATTATATTTGTATTGATTTTTATATATAAATATAAAACAACACCATGAGCAGAAGCCAACTGTATTCTGGAAAGGAACGTGCCTAAGTACTTCTCTTGGTAGAGCGGCATACTCTCTATTTATGTGCAGTTAGAGAAGGCATTTGGGGGAAGCAAACCTTTAGGGGCATTTTGGCTCTGTGTGCTGGGAATATAAGTTTGCTCTAGCTAAATCCTCAACGGTAGTGATATTTCATTTAGCACTTTGAAAAGTTGTAGAAAGATAATATAGTTTCCCCAAGCCATCATGATGCTTTGGCTCCTTTTTTTTTTTTTTTTTTAGTGATATGTCACTTGAGAATAATCTCGAAGCCATAAAACTTTGTTTCCTTTATTCAAGTCAGTGTGACTTGAACTGCATAAAACATTTGATGCCTTTTATGGGTCTTACGTACATAGAGTAAATTCATTTGTGGAGCTGTGACTAGCTTCCATGGTAAGCTTAGTGCTTCTAGAAACCATACATTTTTCTTAAAATTGTTAACTGATCTTAGACCACAGGTGAGACAGCAGTCCTATAGGTATTAACTATATAACAAAAAAGTTTCCATTTTCCTTAGCAGTTCAGCATGGAAACACAGAGAGGCTGAAAAAGTAAGATGGTCAGTCTGTAGTGGGTTGCCTGTGTCAGAATTTTATTTTCCATTTAAATGCAAATATGAAGAGAATTAGCAGTCAACTTGAGATAGTAATAGTTTTAGATGAAGATGTGAAGAGAGGGGACAATTCTCTAGTCAGTAATCTTTTCCAGGTGAAAATATTGGCTTTGAATTTATTCTGCTTATGTAGTTTTCAGTGTCTCTAGAGAGGATGCAGCTACTACTTTTTGTGTAAAAACAAGTCTGTTGACCTGCCTTAGTTTTCCTTTTCTTAAATTCCGAGTTTTGCTGCATTATCTGTGCTAAATAGTTCTTTCCTGTCTGGTTTTGTCAGTGTTAAGTCTCCTAACCATGTACAATGTCTTCCTGGCGCCAAAGTCAAGCATTTCCCAGAGCTATTTTATTTGTAAGTAGAAACAAATCACACTGAATCTCAAGAAATTTTAGACTCTTTAATGCTCTTCTTTTTAAGGGTGAAAAGCTATGTCTTTAGAGTAGTAGTTCTCAACCAGGGACAGTTTTGTCTCTGAGTGGACATTTCTGATTATCACACTTCAAGGGGAGATGCCTCTCACATCTTGTGAGCAGAGGCCAAGGATACCACTAAACATCCTATAAAACACAGGACAGTTCCCTACAACAAAGAAATGTTTGGTCTCAAATGTCAATAGTACCAAGGTTGAAAAACTGCTTTATGGCCGGGCTCAGTAGCTCAGCCTGTAATCCCAGCATTTTGGAAGGCCAAGGTGAGTGGATTGCCTGAGCCCCTGGCTTCAAGACCAGCCTGGGCAAATTGGTGAGACCTCATCTCTACAATAAATCAAAAATTAGCTGGGCATGGTAGCCCTCGCCTGTAGTTTCAGCTACTTGGAAGGCTGAGGTAGAAGGATCACTGGAGCCCAGCAGGTTGATGCTGGGGTGTCCATGAGCATACCACTGCACTCCAGCTTGGGAGACAGAGTGAGAATTCACCTCAAAAAAGAAAAAAAGAAAAACTGCTTTAAAGAATAGTATATATATTTTTAGTTGCTCTTTGCAAGCTTCCTACTTTATTCTTTTACTTCGTTTTGTTCTTCAAAGTTTCTCTCCATTATCTAAATATTTCCACTTTTTCATATTAGAGAACTCCCAGTATATTCTTCACTATCAAAATCTAAGATGACCAAATCCTTCCCAGTATCTTCCTCAAATGACTCTCTAATTGAAAGCTTTTTCTCTGTCTCTTGGGCCACCACCATGGGTCATTGTCACTCATAATAAATTAAAGGTCTCACAAATTAATGGTATCATGACTTCGCAAAAATCATCATGGGAACTTATTAAAAACAGTTTTGAGTCCTACCTCTAGGATATTCTGGCATAGCAAGTCTGGGATAGGACTTAGAAAACCATACTTTAAAAAAGTGTTCTTATGGTAATTGTGATGAACAGGTAGTATGAGGGAACCATTAGACTAACTGAGATCCCTACCTGTTCTCACCTTTAATCAGCTTGTACCCTGTTTTCTCTATCACCAAGGTAAACTGCCCTTCCCAGGCTCTTTCCATTTAAGCGAAAGATCAATGGATCTCCACTGGAAACTGATCCAAAATATAGAGTATAGGCATCATGAATGGGCCTTCACTGTCAATCACCATATAAGTCATGTACTTTCCCTTCTAAAATTCCATTTGTCTTTTAAGGTTCAGCTGAGATTACTCCTTTACCTTGAGGTCTTATCTTCTCTGCGACCTATAATCAGGGCTTGAAATGCTGAGAGTACCGTGATGCATGGGAGTGGAGCTAGTATTAACATTTTAAAAGGCCCTGTATTCATCAGAATTCAAAAATAGCAACAAATTTTCTATATTCAATCAACACAATACTGATTTTAAAGAAAAATAAACCTGAGAGTATCTTATCCATCTTTCAGTGTTGTTTTCCAGAATGAGCTAGGCATGGGGAATGAGGTACCTCAAATAAGACGCTTTTGAAAATGACATCCTAGATGTAAATTGATACTTGACTGTAAACACTTTTAGGTTACATATAGTTGCACGATAGAGCAAGAAAGAGCTAATATGACAACAGCCACCATTTTCTGAATGCAAACCATGTGACAGCCACTGGGCTGCACAGTTCACGTCACATATTTTTTTCATTCTTTACTACCACTGAGAGAGGCAGGCACTAGTATCTACATTTTGCAGAGAAAGAAACTGAGGCAAAGAGAGGCAGTCTACCCCATCACAGAACATGGCCAACTCCAATTCATTTGCTCAAGCCAAGGACCTTGGAATTGTCCTTGGTTCCTCTTTTTCTTATCTCTTCATCTTATTTGTCACAATTCCTGACTGTCTTCACCTTTCCTCATTTCTGCAAAAGTAATCCATTTAAATTGATGGTCTGGTCATGCATTCCTCATCTCATCCTTGTACTTAGTTGGAGAAAGGCCAAAGTCCCTGCATTGGTCTGAGGCATTCCTCACCTCAGATAGTCAGGCCTCCCTCATGTCCTCCTCAAATACCTCCTTCCCTGACAATCCTATATAGAAGAGTAGCCCTTTTCTCTACCCGCCCCAGTCATTCTTCCTTTGTTACACTGCTTTGCTTTTTTCCATAGCCCACATTGCCTTTGGACATAGTACTTATTTACCTCTTTGTCTAACCTCTTCCTCTGGGACAGGAGTCCACAAACTATGGCTCAGGGGCCATATCCAGTCTTTGGTCTGTTTTTGAATGGCCTGTAAGAATGGGTTTTACATTTTTAAATGATCAAAAATAAAAATCAAAAGAAGAATAATATAACACATGAAGATTACGTGTAATTCAAGTTTCAGTGTTTATAAATAAAACTTTATGGAAACAAAGCAATGCCATTCATTTACTTGTCTATGACTGCTTTTGTGAGTTAGATAAAGGCGAAGTTGAGTGGTTGCTATGGTGACTGAATGACCTACAAAGCTGAAAATATTTGCCCTATTTAGTCCTTTCCAGCGAGGGTTTTCTAGCCCCTGCTGTAGAACATAAGCTTTATGAAGGCAGGGTTTTTTTTTTTGTTTGCTGTAGTATGCCCAGCCCAGACAAAAGAGCGATTATATTGTTGAATACATAAATAAGGGCCATTGTCAGTATAAAAGCTGAGGTTTGAATAAATGTCTGATGAGGTCTAAATACCAAGCATGGTGACTATACTTTCAAATAATTTCCTTTGAAAATATTTTCGGTGTAGACATGTTAAAGTGTTACACTATTTTCCCCCACTTGACCTGGCATATTGACTGACTAACCTGTAACATTTCTTACATGACCAGTCAAATTAAAGAAACTGCTGTTCTACTTTGTTAGATTACAAGCAATGAGCATGGATGTTTAAAAATGAAAAAATAAAGCAACCTTCTTAATGGATGTGTTTTCTCAGTAAATACAGCAGTTTTATAAAATAACCCTATTTATTTTAAAGTGCAAGTTAACTGTATTAAAAAAATAATGAAAACAGCATTTTGGTCATGACATACACTGATTTTAATCAACATTTATTTGAAAAATTTTTGCCATCATCAACCCAAGCATGCTCTGCATGCTTGGATTGATGGGTGATGAGATTGATGGGTGATGAGTGTGCCTAATTAGCTGGGATTTTTTTTTCCAGTTTCACAAAACACAAAGCTAAGCTGCACAATACCCTGTCAGGGAAGCTTTGTGCACGTTTTCAACCTAAAAGCAAGAAATGTAAATAATGTGAGCAGTTGACTTGGTGAGGCTGGTTGTGGGTAAAGGTATAAACTATACAGAGACTTATTGGTCCTGGTAGCAGAAATGGTTACTTTTGGTGGGTGGTGTTGAATGCTTACTTATTTGATTTGTTTTAGGTAACGCGGTAGCAAAGAGAGAGGGTGCTTCAATCCTGAAGGGACGACAGGATGCAGAGCTCTTTTGCTTGGATTCCTGTCCTGGCTACTTTGCGGGAAAATGTCTTGGATTTCAGCAACTTCGCGTTTGCACATGTGTGCTGCGAGGAGTGATATTCACTCATCTGGCCCAGCCCTCTTTGCTTCATGGTTTTATTACATTGAATTATAACCACAAGCTGCCACACATTTGACATCCTATCTGGATTCCAAATGAACATACCTCCAAGAAATCCTGAAAGAACAAATCGGAAACTTCAAAATGGATCACCACTAAGGGAACATTTGGTCTACAGTTTCTTTCTGCCTTTACAAAGGAACATGGACATATGTTCCTCCTCTGTTTTTCTTTTGAACTTATCTTTTAGCTCTTGTATTAAAATTGGTTGAAAGGGGTCTAAATAACAAAAGATTCTGGCAAAACATATTTGCAGATGTAGATGAACTGGTGAAGCACATTACTGGTGGAGATGAACTCGAATTAACTGAAGAACATTTATTTTATGAACCTTGAAGGATAGAAAGACTTAGTTGGTTAACTGTATGTGCATTCGTAATATTACTTTAGATAATTTAAAAGTTTTGCATTTTACGTTCCATTGTCAGGTTAGCAGAGATAAAATGGGAGCATTTTAACTTCAGTGCACCATTTTACTGAGTGATAAGGAAGCATATCAATTCCGATATTTTATAACCAAAGCTCTCTCATGACATATTTACAAAAGATGTAAAACTTGTTAGGGTTTTTATGGCTTATATGTAGTGATACTGGTAAATCATTTAAAATATAAAACAGTCTCTATTTAGATCAAGGGTGATTTCTTAGATCCAGTTTATGCCAATTATATGAAAATATTTTAACTCCTAGACAAGAGTCTTTCAAGGTGGAATTTTTAGACCATAAATGATTTTTTCTTAGCTCTCTCCCTACTTACTTGTTAGCCATCTTATTTCTTTAAATGTAAGCAAAATCTGAGTCATTTTTTCCTTGGTTTAATGATTTTGTAGCAGACATGTCTCTGCATATTCTCAGATGCTGTCATGCAGAAACATAAAATAGATGAAGAGCGACTGACCCAGATTTTAAATGCATAATGTTATTAAAACACATACTACTGTAATAATATGGGATGGATTTTATATATTAAGAGATGCTAATAAAAAAAAAAAGAAATGCCAAAAACATAGTTTTTGCACCAAGTTAGTTAGTTATCCCTGTCCTTTCACAATTATAGTGGGGAGAAGAAGTCAATACTATAATGTTGTTTATAGTATAACAATCATTTGATTTTATTATTGCTGAAGGGGTGGAAATAGGAGATATCCATTTGTTTGCTACATTTTATTTGAATTTGACTGACTGATGCTTATACCAAATTTGTTCTGGATCATATTAATAAGTAAAAAATTCATTCTGCTGATGGCATACAAGTTGTTGTGATTATTTTGTGACTTAAGACTTTGTGTTAACATCCTAGGCTTGTAAATTTTAAATGTAAATGTGAAAACTCCTTTTTAAAATAACACATAACTCTGAGGGTGTGAACTATATGGCAAGGTTGGTACATATATTTGGGTGGCTACTTTGTTTCCTCTCCCAAGCCCATGTAGCATTAAGGAGAATTTAGAGAGATCTAATTAAATGAAGGTATATTCATGATGTCTTATGCATACTCTTATGCCTTTAATATAAGACTTTTTGTTGCAAGAAGAATGAGTTAAATATATCAGAAGATTTTGTGGTACATGAAATAATAACTTAGTTTTTTTAGCCCACACATCTGATCTTGTACCCCAAATAAGATCAAGTAACAATGACACTACTTCACATTAAAGTACATTTCTGGTGAGTATCAGAAGAGAATCAGTGGTCCATTCAGGAAAATGTCAGGCCTCAGAGTTGCCATTTCATCCATTGTTTCCTAAAAAAGTAAGCCCTGAAATGAGGCTTTCTTTGAGAATCATTTTAATGTTCTTGTTCCTTTTCTCTTCCTATAGGGAAGTAGGTAGGAGACTTTCCCATATTTTTACAGAATTTATAATAAAGATACCAGAGAGTTGTTGGGCTATGCATCATACTGGCATTAAGGCTTTTGACTGGACCATGTGGCCCTGACATCTGTGAAACTTTGATTCTTGTACCTGTGTGGACACAGTCAAGGTCTCTCTGAAGGCACCACTAACTGCCTAGATTGTACAACTCTCCCTCATGTTCAGATGTGCTGCATTCAAACCATATACACCTTTTCATTGCCTGCCCTTGGATAAGGGGGCACTCTGTTCACACACTGAATTCGACACACACTTAATAAACTTCCCCATGACTGCCCTGAAGTACTGGTGAAATTCTTGATCCCTATATAAACAAATCTATTTTTTTCTTCTCAGCTTGGGAGAGCTTTATGAATATTTCTATTTCATAGAGGAAAATTTAAGGCCAAAACTCACACAGCAAGTTTATTAGAAATTATACATGAAGTGTTGTGATAAAACACAAGACATTACAGATTTTTCTTTGCGGGCTTTTAAAATATACACTATTTTGTATCCTAGGTGTCAGGGAGATGGGCTAGCCTTGGACTCTGGCCAGTATCTAATTCTGCTTTATCGGGGTCAGATTTGTTTGCATCCAGCACCTGCATTCTTCACCACTGTCTCATATCAATAAACTAGAATGAAGAACATCATGCTGCTGACATTTTTAAATGGGTAAAATAATCAAAACTGAACCTCTACTTGAGTTTCAAAGAATACCTGTATATATTTTTTTAATTTAAAGGAAACTGTTGTCAGGGATAATCTGCTCTGTAGATGGTCTTGGACTATAAGCTGCCCATAAGATTATGTATACCACCATGCTTACTGACAGATCACTAGCCCTACTCTATGTCAGAGGCTTTGGTCAGAGACAATAAAAGAGCAGATACAATCTAGCATCTGTTTTGTAGAGTCTAAGTTTTCTTGAATAAGCAGATGTGGCAACAGCCCATATTCTCTCATATCAACACTATTGGGTGGAGAAGGGAAGAGACCGTCTGATGGGTGTATACGCCCTAGTTCACCACCATCACTACTTTGTCAGTTCTCCTCATTTGAACTTTTTGCCTATAGTATACAGGGTTTTTATTTATTATTTTTTATTTTAATGTAAAGATGTGGGATACAATTCAGGGTTAGGTATACAACACTGATCATGCAGGTACCCCTGTCATTGAGGTATGCCCCTCTCTGCCCTAGCAGTCTCCCCCAACTGCCAATCCCCCCCACCAATTTCCCATTACTGCCAATCGCTTTCCCATAGCACTACAATTATTCAAGGTTCTCTTATGAGTGAGAACATACAAAACTCTGCTCTTTGTCTCTATGACAAATCACCGAGTATAATCGACTCCAAAGCCATCCAGGTTGCTGCATTTTTTTTTTTTTTTTTTAAAGAGAACTTGCTGGCACACATGGTTGGGAGCTGACTTCCAAAAGTGGCAGTGGAAACAACCATATCAAAAATGCCTACTTCATAGATTAATTGGAAAATGCTTTTGAACAGAATTATTTGTGATTCACTGGCCAAGGATGAATCCAATGCTAGTCTGATGACTAACTTCACCATTCAGGGTCTCTCTGAAGAAGGGAAAGCTTTATTAAGAGTTGTAGGCCAGGCGCAGTGGCTCATGTCTGTAATCCTAGCACTTTGGGAGATGAAGGTGAGAGGATTGTCTGAGCCCAGGAATTTGAGACCAGCCTGGGCAACTTGGTGAGAACTCATCTCTACAAAAAAAAAAAAAATCAAGAAATTAGCTGGGAGTGGTGGTGCACAACTATAGTTCCAGCTACTTGGAAACCTGAGGCAGAAGGATTGCTTGAACTCAGCAGATTGAGGCTACAGTAGCCGTGAACATGCCACTGCACTCTGACCTGGGTGACAGAATGAGACTCCAAATTAAAAAAAAAAAAAAAGAAAAAGAAAAAGTTGTAGCTAAGCATGTGAATGCTTCTACTCTAGGGGCTGCCAAACTGTAGTTCATATGTCAAACCAGTCTGTTTTTTAAAAAAATAAAGATGTATTTGAACACGGTCTCACCATTCACGGATGTAGTTTGTCTGGCTACGTTATACTATGACAGCAGAATAGAATAGTTTTGTCAGAGACCATGGGGCCCACAAAGCCTAATATTTACTCTTTGGACTTTTAAAGAAAAAATATGACTGATCCCTCTTCTACACAATGGAAAAATTATAACTTTTAAAATCAGTTTATTGGAACACTATCTGATAGTGGCAAAGAACTCAGGTGCCGGAGGCAAACTTGAGTTTGAATTCTGGCTCTGCTACTTCCAAAGTTTTATACTTTTTGTTTATCTATGTGTAAAATGGGGATAATGATATAAACACCTCATAGGAGTTTTTGCAAGAATTTCATTTCTTAAATCTCTTAGTGTGGCGGTTAGAAAATAAAAATGTCCCTCAGTATCTGTGGGTGCTTGGTTCTAGGACTCTCATTGAATACCAAAATCCATGAGTGTTCAAGTCTCGGATATAAAATGGCATAGTACTTGGATATAACCTATGCATATCCTCCCATATTGTCTAAATCATCTCTAGATTACTCTAATGCAAGTAAATGCAATATAAATAGTTTTTACTGCATAGTTTAGGAAATAATGACAAAAAGTCTACACATGTTCAGTACAGATGCAACTATATACTTTTTTTTCCAAAATATTTTCAATTTGTGTTTGATCGAATCCATGGAAACAGAACCAGATAATACAGAAGGCAGACTGTGATAAGTTATTAATAAAGTTGTACATTTTTCACAAATTATGGTCCAAGTAGTCACTTCATGTAAAAACAGAACCAGGCAGTCTTGCCTCAAAACTGGGGTTTAAGATTTAAGTGGATGCATCTGTCAAAAAATTGGGACCAGATAAGACTAGACCTCAAATTGGTTTCTCCTTGTTTCTCCAAGTGAGTTAGAATGTTGAGAAAGTAAAAGGACAAACTCAGAAAAAAGTCAAGGAGCATTGCTTCCTATTGCCCTTGTCTGTCAATTTGGCAGGATGTTGAAAATGCCTGTGCTTACTTCATGGACAGGTAAATGCCTTGGCCTATAATCCTACCTGGTAGAAGTCATCGGAGTAGCACTGGGGGAAAAAAAAATGCAGAACACAGGTTATCCTGATTTGAATCTGAAACCTGAGATGACGTATGCAAGACACACACAAACACAGTTCTCTCAACTTCATATAAAAAACTCAAGCCCCATCTAGCAGCCATGTGAAAGGAAACAATCATTTCAAGTTACAGAGTAATCTTGTAAACAGAAACTTGGAACAAAAGAGCCCAGTAAATAATTGATGAACAGTTACTGAAGCATGTTGGGCAGTCTTCCTAGTATTGATTTTGGCTGGGAACAAAGCACGGCTCTGCAAGCT